CCAGCCTTCAAGGCAGGGCAAGGTGGATCCAGGAGGTTGTCCCAGCCAAAAGAAGCCTACTGGAGAAAGGGAAAGATTATCTGGAAGCTGTACTCACAGAGGCAGTGAAACTAATGGGCAAGTATCCGAGGCTGCTTCTCCTCATACAACACCACGGTCACGCAAACGCAATCCAAGCCATCTGCAGATGAGAGGTTAACTTGACCAGAAACAGGCATGCACAGCTGCTATTTTCCAACAACTGATCCAATCGCTATGTAACATTTTGTTTCAGAAAGGTGTGTTTGCAGTCACTTTAATCCACTTCTGTCACATCACTCCAGAAGTGTCCAGTGGTTGTCAGATGCACTGACCTGCTTAGGGGTGGAGCCCAGGAGCAGTTACACCAGCATGGTCTCCGCAAGAGGAATATGTTGCAGAATTGCATCCCAGGAGAGGCAAAAGCCTGTTCAGCCATGAGGTTGGCATGAAGGAAGATTTGGAAGCAGCAGCAGACAGGCCTCTCTCACGAAATCAGAACCCAGGAGTCTGTGAGTCTTCACTTCTTCCTAAAGAAGCCACATTGAGGCACTCCATTGTTTTCTATCTCTGCCCTTCCCCAATATTTTTCCCTCTCACACCAAGCTCCCAGGTTGCGCAAGCAGCTTCCTTTTGCTCATTAATTCACATCAAAAGCGCGTTTTCCCAATAGATGTGTCAATTCCCTGCAGTGCTAAACCTTCACAAGTACTGGGATCATGAAAAATCACAGTGATCAGAATGACTGGTTTCACTGGATTATCTTTGCAGCTCAGAGAGGCAGGCTTTGAACACTTGGTAACGCTCCGTCCCTCCCAGGTATCAGATACACACCGCATGTCTGCAGGACAGCCTGCGTGCCTGGGCCTAGTCCTCACTGAGGTACCACATCAAAACCAAGGTTTCAGGCTTATTTTTAATAGTTAAAACATTTGGAATTCCTCCTTCTGTGGCTTAGGATTCATGGTGCAAAGAAAACCGTCTACAAATGGCATACGCAAGTTACAGCTGAGAAACATTTCTCTTGGGACAAAGGCATCAACGCAGAAATGACGGTGCTGGGAATCACTGCGCAGATCCTATTAGTGCTTGGGAGAGCTCGGCCCTAAGTTACTGTCAACAAGGAACCACACTTACTTATTTGATTTGAATTCTATGATTCTATGATTTGTAAAGTCTCTACAAACCAATAGCAGCTGCTTCCAAAGTAACAAGGATATGAGTTTCCTTTCTTGGCCCTGTCTTTCCCACATCCCAGCCACAAGCAGACTGTACTTGCAAAGGGAATGGGAGGCTGCCTGTCAGAAAGTCACAAAAAGGAAATCTGTTGCTGGAACCTGTTGCAAGAATGCCTTTGGGGAGGAGAAATCCTGGTCCTGAAAAACACCTGACAATCCATCACCTACTGCTTCTTCTAGGGCTGATTTTTCCTCTCTTCTGTATGCACCTTCACTGCCTCCTTCCTTTTTGTCCTCCCGTTTTCTTTTCAGACGAGGGACTTATTCCTCCCATTTCACCCACTCCACCTCCAGCTCCGCTCCCGGCCTGCCTTGGGCCGCCTGCTCAGCCACTCCTGCCGGAACGGTACGCCAGCCCGCGAGCACGCTGGCACCTCAGCTCACAGCTCACTCTGCCACTGCCTGACTCACCGCAGGCAGGAGGGTCACTGCTGTGGCCAACACGTGGATTGCCAATCCCCTGTTCCTCTTGAATGCTGCCAGCTATCAAGCCAATCCAAGCAGGAGTGATGCTATGGAATCGGTTGTGCAGCTACACCCACTCCTTTCTCTCCATCTTCCTCCTCTTGTTTGCCTTCTTCCCTGCTCTGGCACAGGGAGCAGCTCCTGTCTGCCAGCAAGGTACATCACAGCACCGGCCCGTGGGAGCAGGGGGAACTACAGCAACAGGTAATGCAAAACCAACATAAAACATCAGCCGGGGAATTTGCTTTGTCCTGATTGTCCTTTGACTGATTTGTTCCTTGCACACACACGGCAATATCTGGCTGTTAAGTGTTCGTTTGCGTGCGTGTGCGAGTGTAGAAGAAGAGGGATGAGACAGAAGGCCTGGCTATGGCTCTTCCTCTGTAATGTAATTTGTCCAAGCAGGGAAAAACAGTCATACTAAGGCATAAGCAAATACATTAAACAGTGAGGTCAGGGCAGCAAATGGTCTGTTACGATTGCTCTGCTAGGCAAAAACAAAAGCCAGGCTTGGACTATTTGCTATTCACAGCAAATTAGTGTCCAGCGACTTTTTTTTGGGAGGCTGAAGGAGAAAGGTTTTTCTTGATACTTAACTCGTTAAAGTATTGCCAACTCTGCAGAAATAATTGACTCCTGATAGACATGGTACTGCTGTTAGGCTGATGAGTTTAACGACCTGCCAGACACAGAGGGTAAAGCCCTGAATAAATCACAACAAATGAAAATACTGTTAGCAGTTTCATAATTTAATGAAAAAGTACTTGTAAAAAGGGGACATCTGAAAAAGACCGAGTCCTTCTTGGAAAATTGAATATATATATATATATTTATATATATAAAACAAAATGCAAAAACACAAAAAAAAAATTGACAAATAAGGTTAAGAGGTAATACTTCAAACAGTTAGCCACCGAACACACAATAAAAACTAGCAAATGCACTTTGGGGACAATACTTGAGAACTACATAACCAAGGGCTCCTTCATATATCTATTAAAATCATGTAAAAATTAGCAAAACCATTGCCCAGACTGGAAGCAACTGAATTAATAACCCCAGAAGAGCAGAAACGCTGAGTTTTGCTGAAGCACCATTTCCCCCCACTTCTGTCATACGCTTCTGGCCACAAAAAGACACAAACACTTCGGTGACCTCCCAGGTAAGTGTTCCCAATACAAGTGTCAAAGTTTCATGACCAGCAAGAGAGGATTACTAATAAATATCGAAGGAGAACTAAGAGAATCAGAACTGGAATACAAATGAACAGACATTTGTTTACTTATTCTGAATGACCCATGGCTTAGAACACAAAGCATTTCCTGTTAAAATAAAATATGTGGAAACCTAAAATGCTACTGCATATTTACACCAAAAGAAATAATTTTGAAGATACAGCTCTAGAAAGATCAATTACACAAATATACATAAAAATCAAGAAGTGAAAAGAAAAAAATTGAAGATGCATGAAGCAAACAGAGCAGAATTGCCAAGTATACTTTTTTTAAAATTCACTACTGAAAAGTCCTCCAGCCCCTGACCTGCTAGTCCTATTGCAACGAGGGAGATTTCGGAGTTTAAAACAAATGTTGTTGCTGTTTCCCAAGCTAAAAGCAATAAATTAAGATTATGAAGAAAAACAGGCTGTCCTTTGGATTCTGCATAGTCATCTTCACACCGGGTGGGAAACGCCTTTTGTTTCTAGACAAAATGAACCCTCAGCAGAAAGGAGCCATACGATGTGCCCCGTACAACCTATGGCCCGTTCCAGTCAGCGATGCGGGGACAGAGGATGTTGTGTATTTATCAAGTGTACAGCATCTCAGAGAAAAACAGTGCAGTTACTTTGCTGATCAACACAACACCATCTGGAAAACAGGAACCTAGTTTGCATTCAAACAAAAATCCCCTGTCGTTGAAACCAACAGAAAAGGATTCCCCTCTCTTCTCGCTTCCTCAGTACTGGCTGAAATTTAATAACTACTTAACGAGTGTTAATTTTAAAGGACATACAGAAAAGCGTTAGTTTGGGAAACAGCAACTAATCCAGAGGTTGAAAAGCAGCTTAATAAAATAACAGATTTTCAGTAATTAAAAAAAAACCCAACGTACTCCAAATGATGATTGGCTAAAATTTTGCAGACCTAGATGCCAGAAGTAAGGCTTCCACACCTGTATTCAGGCAACCAGGGTTGAAAATTTGCGCCTGCTTAAAAAGTTGAGAAATTACTTCTAATTCAGCTTATTTTAAAAATACCAGGTACAAACACCTCTGGACATGAAATCTCGGTTTCAAGAGGAACCTGGCATCACCGGTGATTGCCTAAATTTAAGTGTCAAATAGCATTTTTCTTTGAAGTAGTACATCTACTTTTGTAAACACTATCCACAAAATTAGCCATCTGTACTTGTTAGCTGGGTAAAATATTTACAAGTGCATCCCACAACAAGCAACTATGTACAGATTAAAAAAACTGAAGTACTAGAAGTTGTCTATTTACAAAATAAGCAAATTATTGTGAAGAGAAACACAACCTTCAGCAAGAGCAGGGAACGGGGGCATGTCTAGAGGTCAGCGAGTTTGGCAGCGCCAGCGACGCCTGCTTCCACCCTCCGCAAAGAGCCTGCAAACGCCACTGCAGTTCAAAGCCTCCTGCAGAGGAGGATCGTCACTTAGTAGTCACTTTGGGCCTGATCCAGCAGAGCACGTGGCACGCGCTCGGAGATCTGAGCGCAAACGTTCCCAGGGAGGGGGGGAAACCAGCAGGACTTTTCACACGCGTAATTCCTAGCGCACGTGCAAGTGCGTTGCTGGATCAAAGGCATGCTGCAGGAGCTGTGAGAGTGCAGCTTCAGCGTCTCCGTTTGCAGCCTCTTGCACCACGTTAGAGCAACGCAAGGACTTCGTTAATACCTGACCACCATCGCAAGATTGACGCAACATGAACGCATTGCCTCGCACGTAAACTGGCGAGGGGGAAGCAGCTTCCTAAATTTATGCAAACCACTATTAACCACTTTGTGCTCTCCCAGATGTCACTCTCTAATAAAACACATCAATTTCCACACGACTTTGCAATAACTCGGTTCACCTTGTGAAGACTGCAAGCCAATTCACAGTTGGACAAAACTACTCTGATTTCTCCCCCCTCCCTCCATCCACTACTGCAACTCTTCCTAACGTAGGTCCTGGACTATTTTCTGCAACCTTTTGATGCTGAGCTTTGCACTGGTACACTAGAATACGTAAAGACTGAGTTACCCCGTGGGGGCTTCTAATCACCTTTGTACTGAACTGTGAGAAATCATATTCTTTTTGTTTCTATTGTGACAATCTCTTCCAAAGTCCTTACTGGGGCTTTCTCTCTCTGAGCTACTTCGTCTTAACCTCACTTGCTCTTTGTTTTCATCACTTTCTGCTTCAGAGTCACTCAGCTCTAAGTCAGGACAGTACCCGTCATTGTCCTGGTACGGAGCACCTTCAAGTGTCTGCTTGCTCCACAAGCGATCTTTTGTTGCAAGTCTTCTCGTTGGCTTTTCACAGCACCGGAGATCTTCTGTGGTCCTCACCAGACTGTTGGTAGCCTCTTTAAAGGACCGGCTAAAATGTTCTATGGTGGATTTTCTGAAACCACTCTGGCTGGCCAAGTGAGCCGTGAGCACGGACTCTTGTTCGTAGGGCGTCTGGCTAGAGCTGTCTCTCTGGCTCACATCACCAGCCCTGCCCATCAGACCGTTGGACTTGGCTGCCAGCCTTGAGTTCTCCTGCTGCACCCGCCCGTTCCCAATGGAAGACTGTCCATGCAAAGCAGCCTGGAGCGCTAAGGGCTTCCCGGACGGCTGGCCCCGATGAAACTCCGGCATCTGCATGGGGCCAGAATCCTTCGCCTCGCTCCGAGGCTTGCCAATCCCTGCCAGCAACCCGTTACTTCTGCTGTCATGCTGATACCTGGAGTAAGATCTTGCTTTAATTTCAAACGATTCCTTTGACATCGGCATGCTCCGTTTGCTGTAAACAGTGCTGTTGTTGTCAGGAGAGAGCGGTCTGTTGCCAGGCTTCAGCGAGTTATTTTTGCAATCTCCTAGTGCTGATTTGGGCATTTTTAACTTCAGGGTGATCCTGGGAGGTGGGTAGAACAGTGTGTTCTCTAGTGCACTTGTCAGGGTATGGCCTACAGGAGAAATGGACGAGGAAGCAGAAGAAAAAAAGGCTTTTTAAAAAGAGGATAATCGTTTTGTTATCCGCCACAAATTTTATAGTCTGTTAGAAGGTCATTCAACAGTAAGAAGCATTTGCAAACAATCAGCATGAAATTATTTTAGGACATTAAAGAGAAGTTGGGATAAAGAAAACTGTTCCAAACTATCCACCGTTTCAGAATTTAGGTAAGCATTTTAGCATTTCCATTAAAAACAACGTGCCCTTTTTACAGGGCTTTAAGCCAGTGAATTGAACCAGTTTTGAGATATGACTGAAGTAGTTCCAACAAAGCTATAAAAAAAGGTTCATATTCAGTTTTGGATGGAGAAAAAACAATGCTTCAAACTGAGTTTCAATTTGGACTTAGTTCAACTCTCTGTTTTGTATTATAAAATTCTCTACGCTTTAGAAGTCTTTTCACCCTAATATATTAGCCTTTATGATATTATACGCATACAGCAACATTGCAAAGTAGCTATTAAGCTATTCTAATAAGCATTAAAAAAGCACTTCTGTTTGTAAAGATATAAAATAAATTTAGTAGACATTTCTAATAAAATGCATTTACACAAAACCAGTGTGCTTTAGAGTACTGCTGCTTCCACAGAGTACTAGTCTGATCTAAAAAAGTTTTAAAAAAAAACCACCTTGTCAGTACTTATGACACCTATCCATGTTTCAAGGGTAGAGGAAAAAAAGCACAAAGACTTCACTCTAAATTTGTCATGAAAAACACGTATCTTGAAAGAACAGAGAGATCTTAATTTCACATTGAAGAATTAGCTGTCTTCCCTATTAAAAAAAAAAAGTAATTGCACTGTAATATATACTCTTCCTCTTTCCAAACATTGTGTTCCTTATGCCAAGGCAGTCGCTATAAAAACGAAGGGCAGAGTGAGTTTTGGTACATCAGCATTCCTAAGCAGTTACTATTCACTATGAAAAAAACAGAGTACTTAAACTCTTTCTGAAGGAAGGAGAGTAACTGCAGATGGCAGGCTAGGAAATGCCTCTTTGCGCTGTTCATCGAGCACGCAAGGCCACGTGAGAACAGCAGCGATTCCCATCAGTCACTCTCCTCTTTTGCCTGAAGGAACCAACTACTGACAGCAAGCAAAAAACCTTCTCAGCTGGAGAGTCAAGGAGCAGCACAGAGCTTGCTGTGGTCAAACAGTACCATAAACCAGCAGCCAAGGAAGCGAAAATCTAGGGATCACCACCAGCTCGTTTCTGCTGTCTGGATGCCATAGTGATTGCTATGGAACAGGCATACAGCAGAAATAGCCATAAAGTGAAGAAATAGCCAAGTAAATATTTTAAGAAATTAAAGCGTTTTGTGTATGCTACTACTTTCGTTGACTGCGTATTTGAACGCAGTTTTTAAAGGCAGATTTACAATGTTAAAAACATGAAGCCGGAACGTAAAGAGAACACATTTTTTAGTGTAAATACAGATAGAATTCATAAATGTTTTACATTTATATGATTACCTGCAGCAATTTCCTGATTAATGAGCTGGACTTGCAAGTTGAAGACCTGTTCATGTACTTTACTGTGAGACAACTTCAGTTTCTCTCTCCTGCTTACCATGTAGCAGAGATTTCTTACCTACAGAGGAATAATACGAGACTTAATAGGCAGTAATAAAATAAATCCTGACATAGTTTAAAAAGTGCATCAACAACAGAATTAAAATGACATTATATGCAAAATCCCTTGGCAAAGTTGTTGTGAATATTACTGAAGATCCGTAACTATGAATTAAAAAAATACCCTGGAATTTTTTGATTGCCAATTTAATGAATGCCTTGAACATGTTCTGCAAGACAGCAGAATATATTTTCATTTCTAACAACAGTGAGTGAACACAAAATTCCAGTCAAAAGAAAAGCAAGTAATTTCTAAGACTCGCTTGCCTGTAAACCTGCTTCTACTATGTACGATGCCGAGATTGTTACTGCAGGAAATACTGAATTCTCCCAGAATTTCCCTGCAAAGTGTTTCACAGAATTATTTTTAACAGTTAAACTATGTTTGTTTCCTTTAAAATTATTACAACACTATAAAGTGGAGCCGGCAATGTGCACTTGCAGCCCAGAAAGCCAACCGTATCCTGGGCTGCATCAAAAGCAGCGTGGTCAGCAGGTCGAGGGAGGTGATTCTGCCCCTCTACTCTGCTCTCGTGAGACCCTGTCTGGAATACTGTGTTCACCTCTGGAGTCTCCAACACAAGAGGGACATGGAGCTGCTGGAGTGAGTCCAGAGGAGGGCCACAAAGATGATCCATGGGCTGGAACACCTCTGCTATGAAGACAGACTGAGAGAGTTGGGGCTGTTCAGCCTGCAGAAGAGAAGGCTCTGGGGTGATCTTCTTACAGCCTTTCATTATATGAAAGGGGATTACAAGAAAGACAGAGAGAGAGCAGGGCCTGTAGTGACAGGACAAGGGGCAATGGTTTTCAACAGAAAAAGTGTAGGTTTAGACTGGGCACAAGGAAGACATTGTCTACAATGAGGGTGGTGAAACACTGACAGGTTGCCCAGAGAAGTTGTGGATGCCCCAGCCCTGGAAGTGTTCAAGGCCACGTTGGATGGGCTTTGAGCAACCTGATCTAGTGGAAGGTGTCCCTGCCTGTGGCAGGGGGGTTGGACTAGATTATCTTTAAAGCCTCTTCCAACCCAAACCATTCTGTGATTCTATGATTCAGTTCCACATAATTCTATTTGCACTATTTGTTTGAGTTCATAGCAGTATTTCCACCTAATGTAATGAGAACAGGAAGAGGCACTGAAAGTTCTTGATAAACACTTAAAACAGCTTTCAGAACACAGAAACAGAATAGGGGCTGGTTGAAATATATTTGCCAAACATACTTCCCCCAGCACTCAACTCCATCTGTTTAGAACTGGAATCTCTCTGCCAAGAAAGGAAATTCCAAGATTCCCAAATTTATTTTCATGCCAAGACATACCTGAGCAGAAAAATCTCATGGTACAGGAAGTTCAGAAACCTTGATACAAGCATTTCAAACCATGAAGTATAGAGTCATGGAATCATCCAGCCATAGGTTGGAAAAGACCCTTAAGATCATTGAGTCCAACCACAAAAACTTAAATCCCGCCCCCCCTGCCACTAAACCATGTCCCTAAGCACCACATCTACACATCTTTTAAATACCCCCAGGGATGGTGACTCCACCACTTCCCCTGACAGCCTGTTCCAATGCTTGACAACCCTTTCAGTGAAGAAATTTTTTCTAATATCGAATCTAAACCTCCCCTGGCACAACCTGAGGCCATTTCCTCTTCTTCCATCACTTGTTACTTGGGAGAAGAGACTGACACCCACCTCACTACAACCTCTTTTCAGGTAGTTGTAGAGAGCGACCAGGTCGCCCTTCAGCCTCCTTTTCTCCAGGCTGAACAACCCCAGTTCCCTCAGCTGCTCCTCATGAGACTTGGGCTCTAGACCCTTCACCAGCTTCACTGCTTTGGACATGCTCCAGCACCTCAATGTCTCTCTTGTAGTGAGGGGCCCAAAACTGAACACAGTATTCGAGGTGTGGCCTCACCAGTGCCGCGTACAGAGGGACAATCACTTCCCCAGTCCTGCTGGCCACACTATTTCTGATACAAGCCAGGATGCTGTTGGCCTTCTTTGCCACCCTGGCACACTGGGGGCTCCTACAGCTGGCTGCCGACCAACACCTTTAAGCCCTTTTCCACCAGACAGCTTTCCAGCTACTCTTCCCCAAGCCTGTAGCATTGCGTGGGGTTAAGTACTTCCACTCAAAGTAAGTACAATGATTTTAACAAAGTTTGACGCAAATCAACCACTCGTCAAGCAAAAAGAAAAAGCTTGAAATGGTTTCTTGAAAGAAAAAAAAAACAACCAAAATCCCAACCCTCCATTCAAGCCATGTTATGGATTTTTTTTTTTTTTTTTTTTTAAATAAGGACCCATATCCAAAGAGCTCCTGGAAAGGGAGATCTGAGCTTGATTATGACTAGATTCAAGACAACAGTTAGACTGACAAGTGCAAATCTTAGCTCCATGTCCTGGTTTTGACTGGAACAGATTAAAGTTTTTCCTTTTTGCAGGCTAGAAGAGCTCTGTGTTTTGGATTTAGTCTGGGATTTGTTATGAGAAGAATGTTGATAGCGCACTGATGTCTATAGCTGGTACGGAGACCTCCAGGACCTTTCAGCTTCCCATGTTTTGCCAGTGTGCAGGAGCACAACAGGCTGAAGCAGGAGCAGTATGGCCCACAATTCCCCTTATGATTTGAACTTAAGACTTAGGATTAAGGGACAAATTGGCCAACGGAATATTCCATATCATGCAACATCATGCCCAGTATATAGATGAGGGCTGACTAGGAAGTTGGGGTCTCATTCTCTTCTGTGGGATTTTGAGTTTTCTCTCTCTCATTTTGGGCCTCTCACTCATCAGGGATTGCAGTTTTGGAACTTAGATCTGTTATGGAATCACTTGCTGGGACAGGACAGGCATTGGTCACCGAGTGGTGAGCAGTTATACTGTGCATCACTTGTTTGTATCATCGATATTGTATATCATCAATATATATATTCATCCATTATTATTATTTTATCACTATTACTTTTAATTTTATATTATTATTATTAAATTGTTCTCATCCAAACCCATGAGTCTCCTTCCCTTTTCCCCTTTAATTCTCTTTCCCATTCCCCAGGGGGTGAAGGAGGGTGAGCGAGCAGCTGCGTGGAGTTTAGTTGCTGGCCGGGTGAAACCATGACACTCCAACGCTCATCTCCCTGTATCTTCATGCCCTTCTCTCCCCAGTATTGTTTTGCCTTTTCTTACACCACTATTTTCTCTCTTCTGCTTTTCCTCCTTCTCCTCTCCAATGTCTCCGTATCACATTCAGCACATCTACTCTATTTTGTTCTCTTTTTTTTACATTCACTACCTATCACTAAGCACTTGAAAACTGCAGGTGATCACTAACCAACAGGCCAACCAAATAGGCAGCCTCTGAGCGGTAACAAGCCTGGCTTCCTCCCTCATCAGGTGCCAGGAAAAGGCACTCTGTGTGCCTTCCTAATAAATTCCTGCTCTGAATTATGAGGACCTGAAGGACTGAAGGACTCCCATCTTTTCAAACTACCAGCTAGGCAGCAGTCTGATAAGAGCCCAGCTAGCTACTGATAATTTCCTCTTCTTCCTTCTCAGTAAAGCCACAAGCAGTGGTAGACTCAGTGGGTTATTTTCACATTGCTAATCAACCGTAGCACTTAAGGCAGCTATGTCCAGTGAAAGCATCTAGGTAAGGAGAAGAACAACCGATTCAGCCTGCCCGCAACCTGGGACTAGCTGACACAAGCACACTGGCGAGGAAGACGCTAGTAAGACTCCTGAATCAGACGTCACGAGAAGTGGTATGAGTGCAGGCCAATATTCTTCTTCTGTGCGTGTGGAGCCAAAAAGTCACCATGGAAGTTAACCATCTAGGACTTCATCTACTTGCCTTCAAACGATGAGGGTGAGAAGTTCTGCTTTAATATATTTTTAGGATTCTCCAAAAGCTTAATGCACACTCACTGAAGAATACTTACTGCTTTACCTATGCAAATTGATTTTCCAAACCCAGAATTGGCTAGTATTTACCATTCTATTGTAACCATTACAAAACACCTTTTTAAGTACAAACCAAGAGTCCCTCCAGCCCAAGACAGAAGGTAGAAGATAAGAATTTGTTAAGCTTGCCCCATTCCTTCGCTGTTTGCACTTCCTTTCACTTAATGAAAGCAACATATTTAGTTATTGAATCTGTATCACTAGCAACTACTACAGCTGGGTCAAATAAATTTACTCAATTTAAAAAAAAAAAATTACTCAGTTGAAGTTGAAATCAAAGAGTTAATTAGCAAATGTGTCCATTGTGCATAGAAACATGCATCTTAAAATACATAAAGGAATACCCTCTAAGCAGGTCAGGAAGCACTCCTTTCACATTGGAAGGGACAGCTCCTGAAAGTCTCTGCAGCAGGCAATGTAGCATATCAAAAGACTGGAGTTGAAGGTCTTAGCTATTTTAAAAATCACCTGTGTTTCCCCCATTCCCACTTTCGTCTACTAACAAAGACCTTGCTCACCTGGCAAAGAGTTTTTCAGAACCTTACCAGTTAAACTCTTACCCTCTCTAGGTCCTGCCTCAAATGCATAAACATCCTCATGCGAGTATGAATGCTATCTTCTTTTGGCTGCACCAAGCCATTTTCTTCATCCTCCTTGGGAGGAAACAATGGTTTGTTAAAGTTACTTTTTCGCTTTAATTTCCAGTAATTGTAGATGAAGTCTACAGCAAGTTTAGGAAGGCCTAGTTCTGCTGCAACATCCTCCACTTTAACTAGAGAGTAAAACTCTTCTTCCAGCTCCCGGAGTTTCTGGGCTCGCAAACTGGTTTTCTCGCTCTCTGTTTGCTTCTGGTCTGACACGCTCTTGGGGTGCCCATCAACATCAGGCAGCGAATTCTGTTTGTTCTTGCTGTGCTTTAGACAATATGACTTGAACTTGACCTCATCCCCATCATCCAGGATAGTCTTCATCTCTAAGCTATGCTCAAAGGCACAGGTGACATGAAAGGCAGTGATGCAGCTTTTCACAGAGCACTACAGACAAAATAAAACAAAAAAATGTGCATCACTAACCAGTAGCAACAAGCCAGAAAAAAAGGACAGAATTATCTTAATTACATGAAAGTCCATCTCTACAAAAACTTATTTCCCAAGCCCTCTTGAAAATATCTTTTGATCTCCTTGAAGTTGGTATCACCTGATTTAGTATTTTCTCGTTTGTTGAACACTGTTCAATAGAAGGACCTTTCTATCCATCTCTGACCCACACAGTAGCAGTCCTTACACATTCTCAGCCTTATTCAAAACGAGGCAACTCAGACTAAATCCTAAATCTCTGTGCTAGTGAACTAATATGATAGCAAACAGCTATGAAGAAGCAGGCATCTATCTAATGGTCATCTGCATTGTAAAGCATCTCTGAACACAGGAAGAACAAAAGGCAACACTGGAGTTGCCCTTCTCACATAGACTCAAGGGTCACCAGAGGACAAGTACATACCTGAATGCAAGCACCAGTTTTCAGTTTGCATAAACTACACACTAGAGCCCATCGACTTGGTGGAATGTGAGACACCTTTGTGATTGGCTCCATCCTTTCCGGGCAAGCAATACTAACCTGTAAACAAAAAAACAGCATGGAAAGCAGTTATCAAGGCAATAAAAACAAGCTCTCCATCAATACCAGAAGAAGAAACATGACCACACATTTATCTCACTGTGAGATCTCCATGTGCTCATACTTCTGAGCAAGGGATCCTAAAAGATCCCACAGGAAAACAATATTGTGGAACACTACTAGTTTAACCTGGTGACTAGAAGTCACAATTCTTGAAAACATCTGAGTCATCTACAGCATGCCTTGTTATGAACCAGTTGAGAGACTGCAGTAAGTGATGCTTAAGTTTATTTCCTATCCATTCTGGTTGTTTTCTTTTTTCCTGCTATGCTGCTTTAACAGGTCTAACTTAAAAAGTACCAAAACACAAGCTACTCAGAACAAAACAGGAACACATACTCATACTTACCAGAAAAGTTCCTTCTTTAAGATCCACAGATATGCCACAACAGCTACTTCTGCCCCCTCACAATTTGGGGCAGAACCAGATCTATCTGTCAGCAGCCAGGGAAAGCCTCACTTCCCAGTTCTGCCTCTCCACTGAGTGCTCCAATGCAAGAGGTGATTTTAATACACTTTCCTAACTACAGATTGTATCAAGTATAATTTGAGAAATAATACAACAAACTTCTCTTACTGCAAAGCACGGTATATTCTCTTGTGCCAGTTTTCACATACTTAGTCTGGATGATCCATTTGTCTCTGGTAGACCAGATTATGGATATTAATACTAAAAGAAAGAAAAAAATTCAGATAAGCACAGGATATCTTTTCCTATTCTTTGTTATATTAATGTCCATATATCTATTGTGATAGAAATTTCTCAGCTGCGTGCTGTCCATACTGGGAAATAAGGACTGTCCTCCATAACTGGGACACCAAAACAGATATAAATTATCTCCGTAGGCATCCCTGAGTCACTTCTGACAGGGCAGAAACAAGAAGTTGGCCAGCTCTGAACGCTAACATGTAGAACTGGGCCAGTATGCGAATGGCACATGGCAGAAGATTCCAATGAGAAAACTGTTCTGTCCCAAGAATGCCAGTCTCCAAAAGCTTCGATTTTGATGCTTACGCAAAGGAGATGCACTTTTTAAATTCAGCAGTTGTGTGCTTTGGAGGGATACCTGCCCAAAGCAGAAATACAATGCTGATTCTTACTAAGAAGATCTCCACAGTTTCTATGAACAGAGCAGATCTGTATTTCCAGTGGTGGGGTAGGGGCCTCTTCTCAAAGAGGTCCGATCTAAGAATTCAAAGAAAGGAGGTTCCTAGATCATGCTCTGTGAGGCCAGAATAAAGCTGATTCCTTAAGGAAGCAGTTAAGATTGAGATTTGAACAGCACTTCCCCCCCCCCACTCTTCAAGAGTATTATGCTACAGTAACTTTCATGGACTACCTCCATAATATGGCTCTCCTAGGGAAATCTAGGTTATATGAATTAGTTTAACATGTGACAATTAAACTGTTGACTTTACGAGAGCCAGTAAGCTAAACTGAATTTCCTAGCTCAAACTATTTTGCTACTCTCTCTTTATCGTTACATTGGTCTAAGGATCATTTAAGTAGGTGGAAAAGAGCTTTGCAAGAGATTACTTGGTTCATAATTTCCACATTTAGAAAAGTTGATGAGGAGTTCATGAATTAATGACAGAAATTGACTCAAATAGGATTTATATTTGTTACAGTACTTCACCCTCTGATCCCCCAGCTGCAAGCCACATCTTCTGGAATATAGAGGCCAACCTGCTGCATGTCATTTCCAGAAGTCTTCATTAAGAAGATAGTGAGATGCTTCACAGAGGGTCCAAGTTTTACCAGACAAGAAGGAGAACAGGCAGGCAGTATGTGATGTGCTCACCAGGTAGAGATGACGAACAATTGAATCTGTTGTGGCCTTCCTATAAATTAGTGGGAAGCAACAAAGCTGTCCCTGAAACGCTTGAATGGTTCCGCAAAACCATGTCCAGCACTCTTAAACATCATCAAATGTAGCTTTATTGCTTCAAAAATGAAAAGAGCCTTTCATTAACCTAACTTGACCTTGATCAAAACAGAGATGGTTAAAAGTTGTACAGGTATTTCTGAAACAATATTGTACAAAGGTTGACCACAATTCTCATCCCAGTTACCACTACACTAAGAGGCAAGACTTCCTTTGGGAATCAAGGGATTGTATCAACTTGTCAAGCTGTCTATATTACCTTCAAAAAGAAACTGCAGTCTTCAGTTAATCTTCTGGAGAATGAGTAATACCAGCTTTCGACCATGCTCCTCAGCAGCAGCTGGGAATTGACAGAGGCCTTTCTCCCTGTCCCTCTCTGCCCCTTTTAATGGTCTCCCTGCTCCTTTCACTGAGGAGACTTATAAGGCCAGAAAACATTTATGTTGGAAATACTGTCCATTCAGCTTGTAACGCTGCCTGTTTATACTACCCCACTTCGTAAAAGCACAAAGAGGCGCTTACAGAGTCAGGTGCGGTTTATTTATACTGGCCTCACGCTGCCTGCGTGTTTCGGATATTCAAAGAGAGGAGTCAAGGCAAAGTCTGTTTGAACTTCGTTGCTCACGAGGGATCCAGAGTGGAGAGGCCAATCTTTTCCTTCCCCAAAACCTCCCATCCCAAGGCAGAAATGATCCATCTGCTGTTACATTTAGCCATTTCTTCACCTTGTATTAGGTTACATTTTGACTGCTGTACTCTGAAAGTGGGAGAGGGTGAAGACAATAGGCTATTGAAGCCTCTTCTCTGCGATTGTTACACGCATGAGCTGCCACTTGATTGTCACCCTGCTGTCCCCTCTGCTCACCTGCCACCAGCAGCTGCACGAGCGCACAATGCTCTGCATCGGTGGCTGGGAAGGGCAGCCCAGTGGCTGGAGCACAGCCGCTCGCAACAGCAGCTAAGGAAAGACAATTTGGTACCTTTCCAGCTGTACCAAGGAAAAATAACTTTCTGTTTCAGCTAACGCCACATTGATTGAGGGAAGGTGTAACCGCAATGGGTTATCTAAGGCAGAGAAGGACTTTAATTTCAAAACACTGGTATAAGTTTTCTGTTCTCAGTGGTTTGTTTGTTTGTTTTTTAAAAAAAAGAATGCCTTTTAAGAAAACATGAAAGAGACTACACATTTACACTAAAGGACAATAAAGGCAGATGAATAAAAGGATATAAACCAATAATGAGTACACTTCAGAAAGTAAAAACCTTCAAACACCCCAATCAGTCAAGTGAGGGTCAAGAAAGCCTTTTGACAGCATTAGCTCACAAGGAAGGGAGGGAAGAAAAATTGTATTTAAACAGTGCTGAATGAATTAATGAAGGAAAATACCTGGTGCAATTGCCTGCAACAATGCTAGCCTATACTTGGTGGCTCATCAAGTCCCTCTTTGAACCTTTTACCACAAGGCATAGGCTTGTTAATGGCCCATTCCTCTCTGCATTTGGCCTTGCTCCATTTTGTTAGGGCCACAAGAGGGAATGGCAGTGACTTTATTATTCATCTGTTTCTTTGTGGGGAGTTCCAGTGTGCTACTATCTTGGGGAGAAGAAAAATAGGTATGTGAGAATACCCATTCTCCCCTGAAGTATCCATCCCCAAGTCTCCGGGATGTGGGCCTTTCTTGTCCTCTGCAGCAGTAAGGCCACAGTGACTCTCCAGATAGGAAATGACTCGCCATTTTAGCAGAGATTCCCAAAGGTTTCTCTGGCTTCTGTGGTGACTGAATTCTTTTACAAGTGGCAATACAGAAGATCAAGAGAGAATGGATCCAAGAGGCATCTCCCACGCCTACTGGCAGGTATCACCTCCTCACTCTGTCTGACACACCTGGCATTGGTGTGGATGGGAGGAGGTGCCCAAGGCCTGGAGTCACGGACTGGGCTGTGGGAGCAGCTGGATTCTAGCTCTCCTGCCTGGCTCCCCTGGCTTCTCTCCCTCCACTGGAGGGAAGTGGGCAGGTGAGAAAGCAGCATGTGCTCCCTGCCCTGCTGTCACCTGCTTCCCAAACCTGCTGGTTCCTCTTCTGCTGGCAAGAGCATCAAGGTAACCACATGCAGAAAGGATCTCTTAGGAAAACCAGTCTGCTCAGAGCCAGGAAAGCTTCCAGGCAAGACAGTCCATAAGCACAGGAAAAAAAGTCAGGACTTTTGTTGTTTGTGTTTTGGTTTTTCGGTTGTTTTGTTTTGTGGTTTTGTTTTGTTTTGTTTTTTTTTTTCAATTTTAACATAAATTGCATTGCGTTTATGTGGTGCGGTTTTGGTAGCGGCAGAGGCTACAGGGATGGCTCCTATAAGGAGCTACGAGAAGCTTCCTCAGCTCCAAGTCAGACCCACCTCTGGCCAGGGCCAAGCCCATCAGTGTATTTGTGAATGACATATTTAAGAAGGGACAAAGAAACCTGTGCTATGTGGGACCTGCAGTGGAGAGAGGGGAGGCAAGGAGGACCTGGATCCCAGCTGCCCACGCTGGGCTGGCACCACTCAACTGGAAATGGCTGCAGTGGGACAGCTTGGAGCACTCCAAA